CTCTCTCTCTCTCTCTCTCTCTCTCCCCCCTTTCCTCCTTCTACACGTTTTTCTTTTTTTGTAAGAAAAATAATTTAATAGCCACTTGATGCACGTCACGTATCTTATTTTATTAACAACTGCTTTTTCTTAAGGGTTTGATTTCACTGCGTGTGATGGAAGTTTCGATCCATAAGTGACTTGAATGCCTTACTTGCATCTGGTGTTTTGCTCATTTGACTAGTTGAAATAGTGCCAAAGAAAAGCGCCGACTTCAAGCATTTCAGCGCGGACTGGTAGAAATGATGTTTTCGAACACGTGTGCCTGCATACTGTTTTCAACTGGAAACTTTCAGCGGATAATGCATTGTGGCTCGTTGTTTGACGTGAACTAAGTGTGAGACCGTTTTCGGTACATATTGACTCTCTTTAAGGACACTGCAAAGGATACATGACAAATGGATTATCTTCGAGCTATTTCGATCTCCCTCGGAGTGTACTGACTGTGACTGCTTTGACTTCTGAACATTGAGTTTTGTACTAAGACCTTTGCTCAGTGAGCTTTTGGATTATGCTTGCGTGTGAGGGGGATATCCGTTTTGAGATGAAAATTTCGACCACCTCATCTTGAAACTTTGATGTGCACCTTTCTCGTGTTCCCGTATTCTGTTATATTCACCTAACAGGACGACAACGAACAACTCTGCGCATGCTATTGCATTTTTATGGCCTCCAGTTTTGCTTCTTTTGATCATAAGCACTACCTCGCCATCAGTGAGTTTTAAGTTTCGCCAGTAAAGTGTTTTTTTCGTTGAGGTTTTTCGTTTTTTTTTTTTAGTAAACTCACCTTCTGTTGATAAAAGCTTATTAAGACATTGCTCCGCCCCACACTTTTTGGGTTATTTTGCAGCAAGAGAAAACTTTGCTTTGCACGTCTTGTTTGAGACAGTTGTTAATTAGCCCATGCTGATCACCCACGGCCGCCTGTGGACCCCTGCGACGTCTCCTTCTTAGATGGGACAAAACTTCTTCGACCGTCCAGACGACAACCTGGATCCATGGGGTTCCACCCGGCCGGACTCGCCCCCCAGCGCGCAGCAGGGCCAGGAAGCAGGGCCGGTAGGGTTGGGTCACCGCTTGCTCCAGCGACAGCGCAGCAAGAGCGCCGGCATCCTGCCCCACGGCGACTGGGTCGAGTCCGGTCAGTCCTCGCTGTCCTCTCGACCGCTCAGCACGCCGATGCACATGGGCGTCTATGACCTCATGCCGCGCAAGACCGCCGCGTTGTACAGAAGCGAGGACACTATCGTGAACTCTTCCTTCGATAGCTCCTCCTCTTCCTCTCTCTACTCCTCCGGGGTGGGGGCTGAAGAGTGTGAGGTGGAGTACGGGGAAGAGGAAGGAAGCGTTTTTGGAGAAGACAGTGAATATATGAGTGAAGACGAGAGCTGCAGCGAGAGGTCCTCACAGCGCGGCCGCCCGTGCCGACGGGTGAATGGGCTGATAGAGAACGGTGAACCGTCGGAGGAAGAACTTACGTTGTCCAATATTTTCGAGGTAAGCCACAGCAGAATGGATGCATCTTTCTCCCCCTTACTATTTGCTTTTCTGCCTGTCGATCTGTGTGTGTTACTACTGTATTTGTTTGAATGGTATAGGAAAAATTTACTGCAAATATTTTATTCTTCATTAGGTTTACTACCTGCCTCACCCTCTTTTCAAGTTAGAATCAACCCAACGAAAGTAGCAACATAAACAATGTTCAATATACAATGCTGTTACAGGGGCTGTTACGTTGTTCATAACCCTGTAGTAGTGGGTTCAAAGCCTACTGTGCTATTGGATGTGTGTTACAGCACAAGCAAGCAAGACGAAGTTGTATAATATACAGAAAGAAAATGTTTTATCGAGCGTGAGCACAAACTTTGTAGCTTGGTACATGGTAATATGTGGTAGCTGAAGGATAAAGTTTTTATTGTTCTCAACAAAGTGGAGTCAGCTGGTCTGGGTTGAATACGTGTTGGTTGAAATCCTTCACAAGGGATTTCTTCACTGAAACAGGTCACGGCCTACTTTCAGCTTTAGGCGCAGGCCCTTCCGACGAAAAATATACACCTAAAAAATAATACTATGACGTCTTTCGGTTTTGTACCTTGGAACGTACCTCACCTATTTCAGAAATGAGTTATTCATAGAGTTACTGTGAGAAAGCACGCCTAGCAATGTGGTGACTGATAATTTTTCCCAGACTTTGATCTGAAAGAGTTGTATGGGAACATCTCGTGAGGAAAGGTATCGCGATGTATGAGTGAAGGCTCATACTCTTTTTTTCCTCCGGGAGATGAGTCTGCCATCTCAAATGACCTTGCTCTGTGGAGTGGTACGGAAGCCACAGCCCTTTTAGCCATTGTGTTTTTTTTTACTGTGAACACACCTCACTTTTTGAAGGGAGAGGAGATTTTTCCCTCTGTAAAGGTTGCCATGTTTTTGTGGCCAGCACACTAGCGTCTCGTGTCTTTATGCTCAGTACACTGGCGTCCCACGTTTTTATGCTCAGTACACCAGCGTGCCGTGTTTATTTTTTACCCCACTGTCAGCTGACTTGTTGGACCAGGCTCGTCTCCACTCAAACGTTCAGTCCCCCTTTAATCACGTTGTTGATTATTTGTCCTATCGATTTCCCCCCTTTTGCCTGGTCTCCCCCAAGGTTTCAGATATTCACGCCAGTTTCCCCCCGTGCCTTGTCATTTCCCCCTTGTTTGAGGCTTGCAAATAATGTTGCTACCTTTCCTGGGCCGACCCGCACCGTGGAAGGACTCGCAGCTGGCATTTCACGACCGTCCGCGCTGCCCGCTGGACCCTGCTGGGCCGCGTGACGTGCGGTGCAGGACTTTATGTGTAACGACGCTGTGGAATCAGGCGCTCGTCAATTTTTGGGGGGGGCATTTGGAGTTACATGTATTTGTATCGTTTTAAAGTAAGTTTACTTACCTTACATTAATGAAAAAAAAGGACCCATTTATCTTGAAATACGAGGCATTGGTGAGAAAATGGTCGCCTAAGTTTGGGGACTTGCACGGCTGTAGTGTCCTTGGAAACTGTACCTTTTATCAACATTTTTCAGTAAAATTTTCACTGAAATGTTTTTAATGGACATAAAAGGTGTTGATACAAAACAAAAAAAGAAAAGAAAAAGAAGTGGTAAAAATTGCCCAAGGAGCGGAAAATGCCTGTTCCTTTGATTTCATTATTTTGACGAGTGCCTGATTTCACCACGATGCCTGACAATTTGCTGACTCTGAGAGAGGCGAGGGGGTGTAGTTGGGAACGCATTCATTAGTTACTTTGCCGGTCACCGCTTCAGATAGCTGGAGAGAGTAGTGTGGAGTGACCAGTTTGGCTTTTGGAGGAAGAGCAAAGATCTGCTCTAAAATCCCGGTGTCGGAAAATAGACGATTGCACGTTGAAGCTCGAGCACAGGTGTCCAATCTTTCTCGTTCCTGTCAGAGCACAGCGTGGGCAATGTTATCCCCCTCTCCAGTCCAACCCCGGGTGCTTGATTAAGAAGAGCTTTTTAAGGGGACAAGAGCTGGAAAATACGCAGAGAAACCCATATGGTGCAAAGATAGTTTTCAGATATAATATATGAAATTGATTGTAAATTATGGTTAGGCAGAATTATGGTTTGATTGAACGAAGGAAAACACCCATTACACAATAATGATATTCATCACCACTCTACTCACGTTGAGTACGCTTTTATGTGTACTTGTATGGCGCTACAATGAGAGGCATGGATGCACAGTGTGTGGTCAGGTATTGCTTTAAGACCACCCATAACCACAATGACTTGGTGACGTCAGGACCGCAAGTGCGACATCACAACACGCTGCGTTGCCAACAAATTTGAATATGAATGGGGTAAGTTTTATAGCTAGAATACACTGCTGGCCGTGTGTGGCTATGACTCACACGAGAGAGAGAGAGAGAGAGAGAGAGAGAGAGAGAGAGA